GATCATGTTCGTGTGAGGCAGCGAGTTTTGGTGGCCGATCCCAGTGGGCAGCCGAGCGACGGGGTCCGCGCGTCGCGAGCTCCGAAGGCTTGGCGGAGGCGAGCGTAGCGGCGAGCGTCTTGGCCGACGAGGCGAGGCGAGCGGCGAGGTCTGGTAATTCCCCGGTGACGGCGATCGCGGGGACTGTCTGTGCAGAAGAGAGGAGGGGCACGCGTCCAGACGGAGAGGAGAGGGGGTCGGATGGATTTTGCGGTGGCTGAGCTTTTGGCGATTGAGGGTTTAAGCCTTGAAGGGATTTTAGTGGTTTTGAATATGAATGAACGACCGAGATTCAATTGAGAAGTAGAATGAACATGGTAGATATTATAGGTGAAGGGATATTTTGCGGGCCCCCTAATTTTTGGGGCCCTGTGCGGTCACTCATTTTGCACAAGCCAAAGCCTGGGCCTGGCAGCCTAAACGCTTGTAACCACGTTTTGCCAAACCATGACCTTAACAATACCGTTTGGGTGAGAAAAACAACTATTTTGGCCATGTGTCGTTGGGGCTGCCTTAGGTTTCAACGCGTAGCCCCAGTGGTTCGTGACTATTTGGCCCATCTGTCCAAATAATTTTACCCATGGGCCAAGTACTTTTTTTTGTTTTGTGTTTTTATGTACAAGAAGACCACAGTGGCCCAAATGTCCTGAGCAAAAGAGTAAGAATATTCTATAAAAAATCTCAAAAACTATATATGCATAAATTGCCATTTAATTGAGAGAATAAGTTTATTCGTGTAAAAACCTCCGTGAAAAACTTAAAATTATAATTAGAACCGTTGAAAATTAATAAATTACCATTTTTTTGATGTTAGTTTATCTAACAGAGAGTTTACTATGCCGATTGTGTGAGGTGTTAGCGGTTCTCAAACTTCTCAACGGACCTGTTCTTGAGCTGATAGACCCATCTTGCCATGAATAACATAAAAGACGGTCACGAGTTAGGATCTCAGTTGCGTTCCTCGACGGTCAAGTTTGTTATCAAGCTTGAGTTGGAGAAGTTAAGCTTGCAGAGTCCTTTAGGGCAGATTTTTGCTTACCTAAGCAGCACCATCACTCCCCTTTTATAGCCGAATCTTAAAATGGAAAATGGTAATTTAGGTCGATTCGAATTTGTGCGGTCATTGCGCGTTTACTTACAGGTGTTGGCTACTGATTGGGAATGAATCACCCAGGTATTTAATGTGATTGGTGACGCGGCGTGCGCGCGTACCGCATGAGGTCCTGATGAGCCATAAGCTTTTGAGGTTGGAGGTAATTGATGATTTTGATCATACGATTTTAAGGCAATAAAAATTACCTTCCCCTATCCCAAAATTGAGAAGTTCGCCTGCAATTACTTCACGCTGGCATGCTCCAATATCGTAATAACAAAAGCCCATTTTGCTTGTTCGCCTGCCATCAAACAAGCTAAGCTCGCCTGAACGTTTGATTCGCCCAGGTGATGAAGCGAAGTACACCTACGCAGAGTGGACTTCACCCAGCAAAGAACTTGAGCTCGCCTGACACGTTCAGTTCACATCCTGGCCAAAATTAGTTCGAATGAATGCTTAGCTCCGCCGCCCATGAACCAACGCTCGCCTGCAGAGAGTGTTTCGCATGCCGTTGAACAAAGCTCACCGACAGGGTCTAAGCTCAGCCTGAATACTCCTGAGGCTTCGCCTGACAACCCTCGCCTGTTCGCTATAGCTCGACATGCAAGCCTCGTCTGAGCATTTACTCGCCCTATGCTAAGCTTGGACTAGATCCGCCTGAGTGGTTAAAACCACTTCCACTGGTTGAGGGATTTGGGTATGGTTCTCCTCAGCTATAGTTGTGAGAATAGTCACTTCTCACGATTTAGGGAATGGTTATGCGTCACTCCTCAAACTATAATTGTTGTGCGAATTGGTCACTTCCACAATTTAATGGATTGATCATGACTCTTCCTTTAGCCATAAATAGCATGTTAGGCTACATGAAAAAGGGAGGCTCTCGCACTGAACTTGATTTTGCGATCATCTTTGAGATCACATTCTTGGCACTTGTTTGAACTCTTTTGGAAACCGGCGTCTTTTTGGAGATTTAAAAGAATTCGAATTTTTGCCTCTTGACATTCGGCCTTGATTCAGTCTTCGGGTTGTAATCGTAAAACTCTTCATCTTAAGTATTGCTACCACACCGCTGGAAACTTGCCCGGCCAATCTCGTTTCAAATCGTCCATGAGAATTTAAACTCGTGACGAGCATCGGTGATGGCATCCTATCGCTACCAAGAACCCACATTAAATCAAGATATCGAGATCGCCAACCAATTCTATTCGCTTCATGTAAAATGCCTGATTTATTGCATTTGTAATACAATTTTAATTAATACAAATTCAGAATTAAATTTTACGAGCCGACATAATTTAATCGATGGCGATCCAACTTTTGGCGGGCGCGTCCGAGGATGCTACATCCATTTCGACGTTCGTCTTAACTGTCGAGGTCGACGAGTACCGCCTGTTTAGTCGGCCGCGAAGGTTGTACGCCAAGCGTACATGGTCGAGTATTAAAAGTGCGCGGGTCGGCTTAATGGCAGTGGCGTCAAGGCGTATTTTCCCGCTTTCGAACTGGCGAGCGAAGTCGACAACACCGCCTTTTCTAGTCGAGTCTCGCAAGTTGTCATCCCGACCTTTGGACCGCCTTAGATCGTCCCTGCTCGCGCGTGAGACCGAACTGAGGATTAGTAAATCAAGGGCACCATGATCGGTTTTGTAGAGCGCGGATTGATACTTAGAATATTCATGGCGAATATAAGACACCATTATTATGATGTTTTTCTACCAAAAGTTATTTAGGAGGTTAAGTGAGGGAAACTAAAAAAATCCATTCTGATTATGTTGTTATTTACGTTATAGGGGGAAAAACTCCAAACTAAAGTTTATTTACTTTTTGGAGGAGCAACATCCAATACAAAATTCAGGTACAATTTAAATTTTATAATGAGGGTAATTTCAAAATTTTTTAGATGAAAAACCATAACAAAAAAGGAATTCATAGAGAACAAATAAATTAGATATACAAATTAAAAAAAACCAAATCAACCCATGCGAATATATATTCACTATTCAATAAATAAAAGTTGGAAGAAAAAGACATAAGAAGAAAACGGAAGACGAAAATATTGAAGAAAAGAAAAGAAAAAAATAACTGAAAAAATAAAAGTAAAAGAGAGTTGAAAACATGATCATTAAATCTTCTTAATTATGGAAGTTACAGTTTAATTAGTATTGTAAATATTTAATATTTGATTGGCAGAATTTTTAGTTATGAGTAATTTTAATTTGATGAGAATTTTTACATGAAGATGGTGATCAGATGCGCGAAGGATAGTTATAATTTGATTAGGATCAAGAAAAAAATTAATATTATACTATTAGAATTTTCTAATTATAAATAGTTTTAATTTAATGAGAATTTCTAGGTGAAGATATACAGTACTAGGTGCATGCGTGTCATTTTCTAAATAGAATAGCAAACCACAGACTTCTTTTTATTGTATACTCAGGAAGGATTTCAAGTGATCTGTTGTTGGGTGCGTTTGAGATGTTGACAATTTCGAACATGTATTCCGTGTTTGTTAGTACCGTACTTTATGTCCCCTCGTTGCAACCCTGAGACTATAGACAAACATGCAACAACTCGTTCGGCTTGGTTAATTAAATCCATAGGTAATTTGTTATGGGTTGAGATTCCTAAAACTTTGTTTGTTTCAACAATATTTTGGGATTTGGAATACTATAATTTGTAATATTTTTGTTTGTTTTAAACTTTTTAGAATTTGAAATCTATAATTTGTATAAATCTTTTGAAGTCCACCTCACATCCCACATGAAAAAGAGGATTTTACTAATCCTTAAATATATTATTATTTTTTATTATTTGGGGATTAAAAAAACCCCACCCAAAAAAAAAAAAAAAAAAAAAAAAAAAAAAAAAAAAAAACCTAAAGGTATTCTGATTCCAACAGGGCATCTAAACAAAGGAGGGCAATAGTCTCAGCCAGTTGGGACTCCTTTTCCTACCAAGATTTAAACCAACTCCCTAATTGCTTTTGTGTACGAGGACTCCCCTAAAAGTTCGCATAAATACCCCCCAGCAGCTTCGCCCCAGGATCATAAGCAATACGTTCTCCTCCTCGATCAAGCAGCGCTGCAGCTTGGTTGTTGAAGGCGATGGCCTCCTCCTCCTCCAAAGTTTCGGTGGCGCTCGTGGTGACCGCACTGTGCGTGCTGCTGCTGCCCCAAGCAGCTCACGCGCACTTCTGTGGCGCCGTACCACCACAAATTGGCCACGCCGTCTGCCACCGCTCACCACCAACATAAAAGGCCGCCTCGCCAGCTGGCTTTTTCACAGGGCGCACCGCTCCTTAGACCGTCGTATACCACGCTGACGACTCCGCGGGCCAGATATGCGCCCGCATTCAATCCTCCGTCCGCCGTACTCCGCCGACATCACCGTCCGATGCTCCTTTCGCCAACCGCCCACCGGCTCGTCGCGCAGTACGCGTCCGAGGCTACTAGCGCCATGCACACAGCCCCCTTCGCAGCGTCGCCGTCCGCGATTCCTACTCCGTCGGTCGCCCCCTCGCGTCGCCTTTCCGGGGGGGGTGCCTGCCCTCAGCCTCTAGCTCGCTAGCAACTCCAGCCGCAGTCCCCACTCCACTCTCTCGCCTCCGCCTCCACGCGCAAAACGCACGCTCCGAAAGCATCGTCGAGTCCCCACAAGACGTCTGCCGCGCTCCTACCCAAGAATCCCACGACCCCGTCACCCGCCGCCTATTCGCGCCGTCACCTTCCGTGGTCCCTACCCCACTACCGACTCCGTCGCCATCACCGTCCACGGTTCCTACCCCGTCACCCGGCCCTTCGCCATTGCCGTCACCTTCCGTGGTCCCTGCCCCATCACCGTCCGCGGTTCCTACCCCGTCACCTGCCCCTTATCGAATGCCATCACCGTCGGACGAGGTTCCTAGTACACCATCACCGACGCCTTCGCCTTCGCCATCCAAGACTCCGCCCCCAGCACCAACCCCATCCCCACACCCATCGCCGTCCAAGGCTCCTACTCCATCAGCCACCCCTTCGCCATCGCCGCCGCCCGAGGTTCCGCCCCCATCCCCGACCCCGTCGCCATCAGAAGCACATCCCCCATCATCACCGTCACCACCAAAGGCTCCTACTCCACCACCATCACGACCACCGTCAGCGGCCCCACCCTCATCACCACCATCGAAGGCGCCACCGAAGACTCTGCCTACACCACCGAAACCGCCGTCACCTTCGTCGGCTCCATCGCCACCTACAACGCCGCCGCAGCAGCCGCCCATCCGTGCCGACCCCCTTCCGATTAACCTGCAACAACTACTTTAACCTCACATATATTCTGAATTATATTTATCCGCGACCCCGGAACGAACAGATGACGAATCTGCACGGTTCCGCCCTCCGGCTCCGGCTCCAGAACCCCGGCTGACCAGTCCATCGCAGCGACTGTCCGCCTCCGACCTCGCCAACAAGTTCCTCCTTCACGCTGAGACAACAACATATCTATCTCGTCGACAGCCTGGCCGTTTGCCGTGGGTTTGGGAGTCGCGCTGCTTTTTTTTCTTCTGCTTGCTCTTCTGGGAGTAGTGGCCGCCCCTGCGTTCTTCTCTCGTTTTTGACTTTGCTAATTTTTTTGAGTGACGGAAGGGTTTCAGATGACTGAGCTAGCTAGCGCGAATTCCTCTTCATTTGTTTGAATTTTTATCTTCGGCATAGGTTTTGTCGTGAGTTTAAGGTGATACACTAGTGTAAATTTCTCTTCACGTATTTGAATATTTTTTATTTATTTCGGACATAGTTTTGTCGTGAGTTTATTACGCGTATTGTGCATGGTTACGTGATGTTTTATTGCTGATGATATAATGCTACTGACACCAAGAACCAAGCGCGCGTGTGAGGGTTATTTTTTTAATACATTATTGCGTTAATTGCTCCCTTATATTATGAGTATTTGCAAAAGTACTCTCCAAATCTTAGTATTTACAAAAGTACCCTTCAAATCATCAATTCTGAAAAAATTAGCCTCAAAGTAATTAATCATCAACTTTAATAAGTTAATTTCTAATTGCAGTGTAAAAATTATCAACAATATAGTGAAATTTTAAGCATTATGTTGAAGATTTGTTGATTATAGAGATTTGTTTTTCCTCACCAAGTCGATAACTTGCTAGATGGTTTTGCAAACGCTAAGATTTAAAGGGTATTTTTGAAAGTACCCATGACTTAAAAAGTATATATATGCAAAATAACTCTATATTAATATGTTGCAACGAAGAGTTATATCTCTATAAACGTTATTCGGATCACAAATTTCTAATTTGCTTTCTTCAGATTAACTTCCCTTTGGTACAACCACGTCGGCCTGAACTTCTCGAATCAAAGACATCTAAATGAAGATAACAGTTGGGGAAAGTTTTATTGGTTGGCATTACCAAGTTTAGAAAGAAGAGATTAGTATATTTATATTCTTGTAACACTATACAAAATTTATTTTTATTATTAATTTCTCATCTACATTAAGTTTAATCAGAGCCCTTAATTATTACTCCTTTTTACCCAGAAATCTGTTATGGACTTTAATACCGCAATTTCACCAATAATAAAAATCCTGTATCGTGTAACTTTCCATGGTACTTTGTAATCGAAATATATAAACCAAACTACATATTCAATTTCTAAAAGCGAAGTTACCAAGGACTTTGTTCAGCTAAAAAGAACGACGTCACTCACTTCATGGTAGTGGCATAAATAATTCATGAAAATGTATACTATTCATAGTAAAGTTATATTTCAAGTTAATTGATAAAATTATTCCAACAACATTCTCTTAACAGAACTGAACTGTGGAGACATACACCCTTTCTAGGCTTCATCTGCATCACACTCATTGCCTTCTTTTCTTTGAGCTCTGCCATTTGTTCCCCAGCGTCTGCAAGGTTTTGAAAATCAAAACATTAGGTTTAGACTTATATTTTCCATTACATTATTGATAATTCGGTTCGTATAGTAATCTAGATTAGTGATGCCGCTTAATTCGAGTAGCAAATGCTGTCATCTCCATTCTCATATGAACCTTCCTAGTCTAAATAATTCTTAATAGGGAAAACTTAACAAACTTCTTGATGAGTGAGATGATCACTGTTCTTGATTAATTTATATATGTTGGGTTGCAAAACGAGCAACAAACTATGTTAATCTACTTGAATCCAATTGACTCCAAATGGTTTAGTCCTATTGACTCGTGAGTCCAAACATATTTATCTATATATCCATCTATACCCTGCTCAAGAGAGCGGGACTATATCTCATCACCATATATACTATATATATATATATAATTTTTATATATTATATATATTATGATATATTATATATATATATATATATGTAGAGCAGAGAGTGAGAGAGAGAGCAAGACTCCTATCAACTTAAGTTGATGTCCACCAAAGTCTCATAGCCACACATTTATTATATATAAAACACCTTTTATATAATAGCAAAGGATCCGCTAAGCAATATGAGCCTGGTTAAAAAGCTTTGGTGTTGGCACACTGACCTCCCTATCCACTTAAGTGACGACCAGTTTTCAAAACCTGTATATATATATATATATATATATATATATATCATATATATATAATATATAATATTATATATATATATATATATATATATATATAATATATGAATTTAAACTTACAAAATTAGGATTGAATTGGAAGCGATAGAAGTACTAAAAGGTAGGGAGAGGACCTTGTCATCACTAACCCTTAAACTACTACATCGCTTCCAAACCTCCTAGAGAAACTGAAAATTAAGTATAACTTAGCTGAACTTTTAGCTATATAAACCTTCCAAAATCAACAAAACCCAATATAACACATAGTGAAAAGTAGGGATAACTAAGAACTTAAGTAGACTGTTAACACAAGATAAGAACTGAGAGACTGAAATATGATGGAGCATAAATTAGTTCCCTACGGAGAAGTTGTCACCCACTGCATCATCCACACCGCATTTGGTCTGATCCTTCAAGCCCAACTCGATTGCAGCCTTAAGCAACCTGGTTGCTTTTCTGCTCCTAGAAGCTCCTGTCCAGAATAAGGTAAACCGAGCAACGTTAGATGCTATTAGTTGTGAAGTAATTGGAACTTCGTTGAATATGAGGTTGTTATGACGATTCCATATCCACCAACAGAAGCATGGAAGGAGGACCCTCCAAAGAGCTCGGAGATCGTTACTGACCAGGAAGTTACCCTTAACTAAAATCAGGGAATCCACACCCTGAGGCCAGTTCCCTAAGGTTTCTTGAGAGAGAAGGATGAACCATGCAGCTCTAGTGAAGGGGCAGGTGATGAATAAGTGATCATGAGACTCTATATCCAGGTTGCATAGAGGGCAATTGAGGTCACCAGTCCACCCTTTTTTGGACAAGATATCCCTGATTTGTAGTCTTCGTTTACTGAGGATCCAGCAAAAGACCTTGACCTTCAATGGGACTAGGGATTTCCAGATGAAGTTGTGGAGATGAAAGAGGGTACCTCCGTGATTGAGGATAGAGTAGGACTTGACTGTATAGATGCCCGATGGATGATATTGCCACCTGATACTATGTTGGATAGAGGCTCCCGAGGGCTTGATAAGATCAAGGAGAGAGTGGAGCGCTGTAATTTCAGATCTTTCCTCTGCTGAAGTACCTCTTCTAAGGATAGGGTGCCACCTCCAAGAGTTGTGAAATATGAAACCTTGAGATTAGGTGGAACATGTGCGGGAAAAAGCTAGTTGATGAGCCCTAAGGAAGAGGTTGCTGAGAGAGTTGGCACATGATCATTTGTCTACCCAGAATCTGCAAGTATTGCCAACACCTAGATCCCATCGAACATGACTAAAGAAAGTGTGGTGAATAGAGTACAAGTCATGGATCAATTTAGAACCTTTGGGAGGATTTCAAATAGGGTTGGAATTGTTGATTGAATATATGGAGAAGATGACTTTGTAATGTAGGAATTTCTATCAAGGATTTTCCGAATCCATTTGGAGGAGAGCTTGGTTGAATGTTTGCATATTGATGATGCCAAGACCACCTTCTTGTTTGGCTTTATAAATGTTACCCCATTTAACGAGACATTTTGTATTAGATGTCTGTTGATGACCATCCCATAGGAAGTTACACCTGATTTTGTCAATAGCCTTGATGAGCCAAATAGGTAATTTGAAGAAGGACATAAAGTATAGGGGAAGAGAGAACGGAGTTGAGTAGAGTAAGTCTACCTCCAATGGAAATGAATTTATTTTTCAAGAGAGCTAGTTTTTTGGAGAAAGAATCCAAGAGGGGTTGCCATTCACGTCTTGTGAGAGATCCTCTCTTGAGTGGGAGGCCAAGGTAGGTGAACGGGAGGAAGCCTACAGAACAATTTAGGATATTTGCTAGACGGACTCCTTTGTGAGGACTTTAACCAAGGTAGAAGAGATTTGTTTTGGTGTAGTTGACGTATGAGACCAGAGATGTTGATAAAGATGTAAAGGATGAATTTGAGGGTGATAATATCTCTTGAGGAAGCTTTGCTAAAGATTAGAGTATCATCAGCGAATTGGAGGGATCTTATAGAGTTGAGCTCTGCTTTAAGGTTGAGCTCAAAGAGGTCCCCCGAGAATACACTAGTCTTGAGCATCTTGTTAAGCACATCAACAATTAACAGGAACAGCATTGGGAAGAGGGAATCATCCTGCTTAAGACCTCTTTGGCACTTGAAGAAGTTGGTAGGGGAGTCATTGACCAGCACAACAGATTTAGAAGAAGACATGGCATGATAAATCCAAAGGAAAACTTATGATTAAAGCCTCTGGCTTTGAGGAGAGAAAGAAAAAAGTTCCAGTTAACACAATCAAAGGCTTTGAAGAAATCCACTTTAATAGCACACAATTCCTTTTTGCCTAAGGAGCATTGGTTAATCATTTCATGGGCTAGAAGGATGGAGTTGAGGGAGGACTTGCCGCTTTGAAAAGTTGTCTGAGAACAATCAATGAGAGATGAGAGAAAGGGGCTGAATCTGTTTGCTAGAATTTTGGTGAAGATTTTGAGTGAACCGTTGATCAGACTTATAGGTCTGAGATCTTTGGGATTATTCGCACCATTCTTCTTTGGAATGAGGCAAATATAGAAGTAATTGATGTTGTGGAGAAGATGAGCATCTGAATGTACAGATTGGATGAAAGAGATGACATCATGTTGTATGGTGGACCAGAAACTTTGAAAAAAGAGTATGGGTAGGTCATCCGGCCC